CTCTTTTTTTTTTTTTTTTTTTTTTTTTTTTTGAGACAGAGTCTGGCTCTGTCACCAGGCGCCAGGCTGGAGTGCAGTGGCACGATCTCGGTTCATTGCAACCGCCTCCCAGATTGAAGCAATTCTGCCTCAGCCTCCCGAGTAGCTGGGACTACAGGCTCGTGTCACCACGCCCAGCTAATTTTTGTATTTTTTCAGTAGAGACGGGGTTTCACCATGTTGGCCAGGATTGTCTCGATCTCTTGACCTTGTGATCCGCCCGCCTTGGCCCCCCAAAGTGCTGGGATTACAGGCGTGAGCCACCGCGTCCTGCCTGGCCTTTAACTCTTGACCTTGTGATCCGTCTAAGCCTCCCAAGGTGCTGGGATTACAGGCATGAGCCCTCATGTCCAGCTCAGATTCTTTTAGCAATCCTAACAAATCAGGACACACAGTATCTTAAAAATTCTCCCAGATAGTAGGTAAGAATATCAAGTATTTATAGCAATTCTGACCTCAAATACAACGTACAGGATTTACATCCCTAATCTAAAATCTGAACTGCTACAAAATCCAAAAGTTTTTGAGCAATGACATGATGCTAATAGTTAAATACACATAACTACTTAACACAAACTTTGTTTCATGCATAAAACTATTAAAAACATTGTATAAATTATCTTTAGGCCATGTGTATAAAGGGTATATGAAACATAAATGAATTTTGTGTTTCAACTTGGGTCCAATCCCTAAGATGTCTCATTATGTATATGCAGATATTCCAAGATCTGAAAAAAATCCCAAATCCAAAATAGTCTTGCCCAAGTGTTTTGGATAAGGGATACTCAACCTGTAATGTCTCAGTGATATGCTGTATGTGTCCTGTAAGTCAAATCCAGCTCCTTGGTATCAAAGAAGGTAGAAATTATATGAAGGGCCTGAGAAGGTAAGAATATCGTGAAGAGTGCTGAAGATTAATGGAGATGTCATTTGCAGCACAACAACACTGAAAGCATGCCTTTGAAATCAGAAGTTCACCTAGTTTCTTAAAACATAGCCTTGAGTTCACTGAATATCAGCTGATAGTCTAGACAGTATATTCTAAGTTATTTGAGGCAGATAAATTTACCCAGTGAGAGTAAGTTGCTGTAGTTCTCCATCATCACATCCCAGTACAAGTTCCTCTGAGCAGAATCTAAATATTCCCATTCCTCCTGAGAGAAGTTGATAAGCACATCCCTGAATGTCACCAATTCCTGAAACAAACCCGTACATTACAGGTAAAATATAAGGAAATATTTTGGAGAAAAAAAGGAATTGCCTTATAGCAAGGGGATTGGACAGTAAACAAGGAGACCAGGAACAGAGAAGCCTATGACATGGGAAGTAAGGAAATTAGTGATTCCAAACCAGACTATGGACTTCTTTAAAGACTCCCTTTGATTCACAGACATCTTTCTGCATACTTATGGGATCTCTTATTTAGCCAACCATGTTTACAAATTAACAATCAGTTTACAAATTAAAAGAAGTACTGTATACAAGTACGTTTCATGCTATGTGCCTCCCTCCTGAATTATCAGTAAAGGTAAGTTTCTATACCCCCATTCCCCTGTATAGGAGGAAAATATCTAACTTCTAACTTTGAAAATGAGGTATGAACAAAATTAAAGATTTATTGTAGACCCAAGTTCATTACTACTTGACATATTATTTCACATTATATAATAAGAATTATTACTTCTAGCAACAAAGTTTTTAGTGTTTTTAGTGGCTATAGAGTAGTTTCCTTGTTAAAAATATAATAGCCTTAATTATACTCCAACTTTTAGGTTAGAAAGGTCTTCTTCAATTCTGTGTCTACAATCATCATTTTGTATGACCTGACGCCATTCAACATAAAATCCAATCTCGCTGGAAACTCAAGTCTGTATAGAGGTCAGTGTATGTCCAATTATCATCAAACAGAGCCAACTGCTCTTTTTCCCTATCCAAGAATACGACAAGGAAAAGTCTAGGGATTCCACTTCTATATCTGCCCTTGAGAAAGGACTGAACACATAGGAGTGTTGAACATTATTTGGAGAATAGAGAGGCACACAGGAGAGACACTGTACTGTTAGACTCCAGCCCTTACTAGAAAGCGAAAAAGTATGGGGTTGTGGTGCAGGTTGTGTGATAGAGGTGTCTGGTAGGAAGAATTAGGAAAAAGGAAATACCACAAAGAAAAGAGAAATAGTAACTTACATGGTCCATGGTTAGAACTGTAAAGAACTGGTCAGGGAACTTCACTTCTGGCATGACAACATGAGGAGCTCCATGGACATGATCTCCAATGAAACTGTAAAAATTATTTTTTAAAAAAGAATCACCATTTAAAGTCTCTGGAAATGGTGCTAGAAATATGCAGCAAATGAAGAAACATTAAGAAAATCTCCAAAAGCATGTTAGAACTCTGAGAGTCTAGACTACGTAAACCAAACCTTAGCCCTCCATTGTCCCTTCCATCTAGGTGAGAAAGACTCCACTGCAGACAGGATAGCCAAGGGCACAGGGTTTCTTCACCACTTCTCAATCCTTCCCCCAGTCGGATAGCTATCTTCCTAGGTGGGGTAGGACATCATCATTTTTCACTCTGTCCCACCTATCTGTTGCACAGCTGAAGAATGATGACTCCCTTCCTCTGTCTAGCCCCAAAACATGAAATGTAGGCTTTAATTTGGATGTGGTACTGCTGAGCATACTGAGGTTCCAATTGCTGTGCCCTGGCTCTGGGGGCAGGAGTTCCATGCCAAAACAGGCAAGCCAGGAAGACCTGGCTGCTGCCCCCACCTGCCATCTACCAAGCACTCAGCTCGTAAAGCAGGGGAATCACTCAGAGAGATATATGTCATTGTCCTTGCCTCCAGCACTAGAACGGTGGCTCTGAGATTTTGTCCAGCATGAGAAGTGAGCAATAGAACAGAGAGTTCTGTATTCCTCCTCAAAGGAACTGAATTGATTTGCAAGAGAATGTGCAAATGTCAAAAACTGAAAAGTTTGGTGAAGGGTAATTGGGAGGACATTGACAGATTAGAGATGTATGTTATACTGTGGGGTTGCTAGTCTGCCAGACAGAAACAGAGAAGGAGACACCTGGAAAGAGTGTCCCTATTCTATTGTCAGAACATATCTGAAACACTGACCTCAATAAAGCCCCAGTTTGATTACATTAGCCTGTGAAGCAATCTATACTCCAGGGCACTTATGAAAGCAATACTGCCAAAAGTTGCAATTAGTGGTGCTTAACAGCTAGGGGTGGCCAGGGAGATGCTCAAAGACAGCCCTGTCAAAACCACTGTCATCTAATGGTGTCAGTAAAAATAGCGAAGACTATTCCCCCAATGAGCAACATCAAGAGATTTTACACCATCTCTTGGTGGTGGGGACAGACTTCACTAAAATAACCCAGAGTCCATTCTCATGCTGCTATAAGGACATACCCAAGACTAGGTAATTTATAAAGGGAAGATATTTAATTGACTCACAGTTCTGCATGGCTGGGTTGGGGGCGCTCAGGAAACTTACAATCATGGCAGAAGGCACCTCTTCACAGGGTGTTAGGAGAGAGAATGAAAGTGAAGGGGGAAGCCCCTTATAAAACTACTAGATCTTGTGAGAACTCATTATTACAAGAACAGTATGGGGTAAATTGCCCCCATGATTCAGTTATCTCCACTTGGTCCTGCCCTTGACATGTGGGGATTATTACAATTCAAGGTGAGTTTTGGGTGGAGACACAGAGCCAAACCATATCACAGTCACTAAGGAAGTAAATAAGCAAGTACCAATAACTAGCTCTGAGCCAGAGGGTGTGGACAAGAGTACTGGAGTTCCAACAATTGTCTATAATGTCCACTTTCCACAAATAAGAGACAGGCAAGGAAATAGGAAAGTATGATTCACACACTGGAAAAAAGGCCCACAACAAAAACTGTGAGAGCAACCAGATTTAACAGGCAAAGATTTCAAAGTAGCCATTATATGTTCAAGTAGACAAAGGAAACCATAGTTAAAATGTAGGTATGATCATAATGTTGCATCAAAAGGAGAATATCAATAAAGATATAAATTATTTAAACATGTAAACTCTGAAGTTACAAGGTGTAATAACATGAAATTTTTACTAGAAGGACTCAATAGTAGATATGAACTGGCAGAAATATTAGCAAAGTTGAAGACAGATTAATAGCAATGGTGTAATCTGATGAACAGAGAAAAAACATGACAAATTAACATCTCAGAGGAATGTGAGACCACATTAAGCACACTGATATAAACAGGAGTACCAGAAGAGAGGTGAGACAGAAAAAAAGCATTTAAAATTTACAAAGACATAATGGATTTAAAATTCCAAAATTTATTGAAAAACATTAAACTGCACATCCAGGAAGCTCAACAAACACCTAGCAGGATAAATGCACGGAGACCCAAATATAGGTGCATCATGATAAAAGCACTGAAAACCAAAGAAAGAAATGGAGAAAATTTTGAAGTAAAAGGAAATTGCAGGTTAAAAGTGAAATTAATACAAAAGTATTAACTGCTGTTTTCTCATCAGAAAAACATGAAGGCCAGAAGGCAGTGGGATGATATATACAAAGTACTCACACAGAAACCTTCAACCCAGAATCCTAAATCCATCAACATGCAAAAAAATTGAAATGACCCCCCTACCTCACACCACTTAGAAAAAACAACTCGAAATGGATTAAAGACTTAAATATAAGGCCTGAAACTATAAAATTCCTAGAGGAAAACATAGTTGGAACTCCTGACATTGGTCTTGCCTGATGATTTTTTAAAATATGACACCAAAAGCACCGGAAACAGCAAAAACAAAGAAGTGGGATCAAATCAAATTAAAAAGCTTCTATAAGACAAAGGAAACAATTTAAAAAGTGAAATGACATTCTACAGAGTGGGAGAAAATATGTGCAAATTATGTATCTGACAAGGGCTTCCTATCTGAATTTATAAGATTCATTCAACTCACTAGCAAAAAAACCAAAAAATTAAAAAATTAGCAAAAAACATGATAGACATTTTTCCAAAGAAGATATACAAATGGTCAACAGATACACAAAAAGGTGCTCTATATCACTAAACATCAGGGAAATGCAAATCAAAACCACAATGAAATATTACCTCATATCTGATAGGGCTGCTGTTATCAAAAAGACAAGAAAGAAAAAAATATTGACAAGGATATGGAAAAAAGGGAAGCCTTGTATACTGTTGGGGACGTAAATTGGTACAGTCCTTCTGAAAAAGAGTATGGAGGTTCCTCAAAAACTTAAAAATAGGACAACCATACAATCCAGCAATCCCACTTCTGGGTATATGGCCAAAAGAAATGAAGTCAGTCATTCCCTGTCCCCTGCCCGCACCATGAAGTCTTGCTCTTTTGCCCAGGCTGGAGTGCAGTGGTGCAATCTCAGCTCACCGCAACCTCCACCTCCAAGGTTCGAGCAATTCTCCTGTCTCAGGCTCCCAAGTAGCTGGGATTACAGGAGCATGCCCCCATGCGTAGCTAACTTTTTTATTTTTAGTAGAGACAAGGTTTCATCATGTTGACCAGGCTGCTCTCGAACACCTGACCTCTTGATCCACCCACCTCGGCCTCCCAAAGTGCTGGGATTACAGGCATGAGCCATCATGCCGGGCCGAAGTCAGTAACTAGAAGAGATATTTGTAGCCCTTGTTTATGACAGCATTATTCACAATAACCAAAATATGGAAACCTAAGTGTCCATCAATGGGTGGACAGATAAAGTGTGTTTGTATGTGTGTGTATACACTTATGTATGTGTCAATTATGTATCGGTAAAACAGAGGGGAGTGGTTATCCTTATCCAGCAAACCTACATTTCAAAACTTAAAAAGACATTTCCAGATAAAAACTGAGAGAATTTATTGCTAGCTGACTGACCTTAAAAAGTACTCAAGGAAGCTCTTGAAGCTGAAAACAAGTGATATTAAGCAGTAATACAAATCCATATGCAAAACAAAGAGAAGCAAGGCAATTAGTAATTATAAAAGGCAGTATACATACATATCTCTTCTCCTCTTAACTGATACACAAATTTTATGAAACAATATGTATATTATGTATTACTGGACCCATAACATACAGAAATGTAATATATTTGCTAATAATAACACCAAGAAGGCAGGGGAGAGCAAAGTTGTATTGGGCTAAGGAAATGAATCCAGATGGTAACTCAAATCCATCTGGACCAAATGAGAACCAAAAGTGATAAATCAGATTGATAAAATAAAAGTTATAAATGTATAAAGATTCTCCTTTCTTCTTGTAGTTAAAAAAAAAAGATTTATGTAACATAAAAATTACAACAATTGGTTGAGTTTGAAACATCTGTAGATGTAATGTGACAACCAATATTAATGTAAGAGAAGATGAAAGGAAATAGTTATATAAGAGTAACACTTCTGTATCTCACTTGAATTAAGCTAATATAAATCAGAAGCTGTTTCTGATAAGATATATATATGTGTGTGTGTTAAGCCCTAGAGCAACTGCTAAAGAAATAACCCAAAAATATAGTGAAAAAAATCATTAAAGAAATTAAATACACATTAGAAAATACTCATCTGATGCAAAAGAAAGCAGTAAAGGAAGAGAGGAAGAAAAAAAAACTTGACATACACTGAAAAAAGGTGGAATGACAGATGTAAATCCAACTGTGTCAATAATAACATTAAATGTGAATAGATTAAACAATCAAAAGGCAGAGAGTCAGAATGCATAAAAAACAAGATGCAGGTATATGCTCTTGCTATGATTTAAATATATCCCTTCCCAAACTCATGTATTACTAATCTGATAGTATTAGGAGGCAGGGCCTTTAGGTAGTGGTCAGATCAGAGGGCTCCTCCCCTCAGGAGTGGGATTAAGGCCCTTATAAAAAGGGCATCATGTGGCCTTTTGCCATGTGAGGATAAAGCAATCCTCCCCTACAGATGATGTGTCATCAAGGCAGCATCTTGGAAAGCAATGAGCAGCTCTCACCAGAAAACCAAACCTGCCAGTCCCTTGATTTTGGACTTCCTAACCTTCAGGCCTGTGAAAAATAAATGTCAATCCTTTATATAAATTACTCATTTGGGTATTCTGTTATAGCAGCAAACAAAAACAGAAATTGGAATCTGGATAATGGGATGTTACTGTAATAAATACCTGAAAATGTAGACACAGTTTTGGACCTGGGTAAAGGGTAGAGAAGGGGTCAGTATTGAAGTGAATGCTAAGAATAAGTCTAGATTGGGCAGGGTGCAGTGACTTACATCTGTAATCCCAGCACTTTGGGAGGCCAAGGTGGGAGGATCACATGAGGAGAGGAGTTCGAGACCAGTCCGGGCAACATTGTAAGACCCCCATCTCTACAAAAAATTATTTTAAAATTGGCTAGGTATGGAGGTACACGCCTGTAGTCCTAGCTACTTGGGAGGCTGAGTGGGGAATATTGCTTGAGCCCAAAAATTTGAGTTCACAGTGGAATATGATTGCTACTGCATTCCAGCCTGGGAGACAGAGCAAGACCCTATCTCAAAGAAAGGAAAAAGCCGGCCCAGCACGGTGGCTCACACCTGTACTCCCAGCACTTTGAGAGGCCAAGGAGAGGTGGGTGGATGACCTGAGGTCAGGAGTTTGAGACCAGCCTGGCCAACTGTGGCGAAATCCCATCTCTATTAAAAATATAAAAATTAGCTGGGTGTGGTGGCAGGCGCTTGTAATCCCAGCTACTTGGGAGGCTGAGGCAGAAGAATTGCCTGAACCTGGGAGGTGGAGGTTGCAGTGAGCCAAGATCACCCCATTGCACTCTAGCCTGAGAGACAAGAGCGAAACTCTGTCTCAAAAAAAAAAAAAAAAAGAAAAAGAAAGAAAGAAGGAAAACACCTAGATTGCTATGAACAGGATAAGGGCAATTCTGCTGAGTGCTCAGAAGAGCTGTAGGGAATGCCTGCAATTTCTTAAATATTACTTAAGTGATCCTGACAAAATGTTGGCAGAAATATGGATAGTAATGGCAATTCTGGTGAGGTTTCATACAGAAATGAAGACTCTCTAGCCGGGCGTGGTGGTGCACACCTACAATCTCAGCTACTCAGGAAGCTGAGGCAGGAGAAATGCTTGAGCCCAGGAGGTGGAGGTTGCAGTGAGCCGAGATTATGCCACTGCACTCCAGCCTGGGCAACAGAGTGAGACTCCATCTTAAAAAAAAAACAATGAAAAAAAAAAAAAAGAAATGAGGAATATCTTATTGGAAACTGGAATAAGAGGAATATCTTGGAAAATGATATTGGAAAATGAGGAATATCTTATTGTCATCTATTTCAGAATGTGACAAAAAACTTGGCTGAGGCCGGGCGCAGTGGATCACACCTGTAATCCCAACACTTTGGGAGGCCAAGGCGAGTGGATTGCTTGAAGTCAGGAGTTCGAGACCATCCTGGCCAACATGGTGAAACCCTGTCTCTACTAGGAATACAAAAAAATTAGTTGGGCATGGTGGCACGCGCCTGTAGTCTCAGCTACTTGGGAGGCTGAGGCAGGAGAACTGCTTGAACCCAGAAGGCGGAGTTTGCAGTGAGCCAAGGTTGGGCCACTGCACTCCAGCCTGGTGCCTGGTGACGGAGTGAGACTGTCTCAAAAAAAAAAAAAAACCTTGGCTGAATTATATCCATTTCTAGAAGAAAGAACTTAAGCAGCGATAAAGTAAACTATTTGGCAGAAGAAATCTCTAAGCAGCAAAGCATTCAGGGTGCAGCTTGGCTTCTCTCTCTCTCTTTTTTTTTTTATATATATATATATATATTTTTTTTATAGAGATGGGGTTTCACCATGTTGGCCAGGCTGGTCTCGAACTCCTGACTTCAAGCAATCCACTCGCCTTGGCCTCCCAAAGTGTTGGGATTACAGGTGTGAGCCACCGCGCCTGGCCTGCTTCTCTTAACTACATGGAGTAAAATGTGAGAAGAAACAATACAAAGATGGGATTTATAACAACATGGAAGTAGAACACAGAGATTTGAAAATTCTCAGCCTGAACATGTAAATAAAAAGGTATTTAGAAAAGTAAACCAAGGGTGTGACCAAGTAACTTTTTGATAAGAGTATGGCTAGGAGGAAGCCAGGTGCTCTTCATCATGACAATAGCAGAATGAAGTCAATGGCATTCCAGAGAGCTTCAAGGCTGCTCCTCCTGTCACAGGCCTAGAGTGCTATAGCCTTGAAGGCAGGATGGTTTCAAGGAAGGGCCTAGAGCACTCATGGGACTTTAGGACTTGCTTCCTGGGGCTGCCTCAAGTCTCTGCTCCCCACATCCCAGCACGGTCCTCCTTGGCTGCCCTAGTTATGGCTCCAGGGGGCCCAGGTGCAGTTTAGTCCCTGCTCTGGAGGGCAAAAGTGGTAAACCTCAGTATCCACATGGTGCTGATTTTCCAAGTGTGCAGAGTGCACAAGCTGTGGAAGTATGGCATCCTTCAAAGAGATTCTTTTTTTTTTTTTATCTCATTCTGTCGCCTAAGCTAGAGTGCAGTGGTGTGATCTCAGCTCCACTGCAACCTCGACCTCCCAGGCTCAAGCATTTCTTCTGCCTCAGTCTCCTGAGTAGCTGGGATTAAGGGCACGTGATACCTTGGAGAGCCTCAGGGCCCAGACAGGGCAGAGCCACTGCAGATAGTCCTCCCAAGGGCAGTGTCCAGTGTAGCCATAGAGGCTGTGCCACTCCTCAAACCTTAGACCTGTGGAGCCAGGAGCGTGCAACATGGGCCTGGCGGAACCAGTGGCACCTGAATGCAACCCATGAGAGCTGCAGTATGAACTATGCACAGCAAAGTCATGGTGGCAGGGTCCCTTAGAGCCTTTGGGGTCCAACCCCCATCCCAGTGTGTCTGGAACATGCAGCAAGGAGTCAAAAGATGATTATTCTCCAGGCTTAGGGTTTATTGTTGTTTGCCCTGTTTTGGACCTACTTGGGACCAGTGACCCATACTTTCTTATTTATCTGTTTTGGAATAGAAATATCTGTTCTGTATCTGCCCCATCATTGTGTTTTGGAAACACATAACTAGTTTGGTTTCACAGGTATGTAACTAGAGAGCAATTTGCTCAGGATGAGTCAACCACATCTAATTTAGATAATATCTAGATGAGACTGTGGCCTTTGACTAAAATTTATGCTAAAATGAGTTAATAATTTGGGGGATATTGGAATGAAATGAATGTATTTTGTATGTGAGAAAGACATGAATAAGGGGGGGGTCCAGGGGCAGAATATGTGTCCTCTCCAAAATTCATGTGTTGCCAATTTGATAGTGTTAGAAGGCAGAGCCTTTAAGACGTGATGAGGGCCTCTCCCTTTGTGAATGGGATTACAGCCTTCATAAAAGAGGCTTAACGCAGACTTCCTTGTCCTTCTCCCTTCTGCATGTGAGGACACATGTCCTTTCTGGAGAATGCTGCATGAAGGCACCCTTGGAAGAGGACAACTGAATCTGATGATAATCTTGATCTTGGACTTCATAGCCTCCACAACTGATGCATTTCTGTTCTTTATAAATTACCTAGTCTCAGGTATTTTGTTACAGCAGCACGAACAGACTAGGAAGTTGTCATGGGTGATTCCGCTGCAAAGCTGCAAGTAGATTGGGAGTAAGATGATGGAAACCACAGTCAAGCTGAGAGCCAAATCAGGAACACAATCCCGTTTACAATTGCCACTAGACGAACAACATACCTAAGAATACAGCTAAACAGGGAGGTGAAAGATCTCTACAATGAGAACCACAAAACACTGCTCAAAGAAATCAGATGACACAAATGTAAAAACATGGGAGGAAGAATCAACAGCATTAAAGTGGCCATACTGCCGAGGGCAACTTAACGATTCAATGCTATTCCTATCAAGCTACCAATGACATTCTTCACAGAACTAGAAAAAGCTATTTTAAAATTCACATGAAACCAAAAAAGTGCCTGAATAGCCAAGGCAATCCTAAGCAAAAAGAACAACGCTGGTTGCATCACACTACCTGACTTCTACCTATACTACAAGGCTACAGTAACCAAAACGCAATGATTTTAGTACAAAAACAGACACATAGACCAATGGAATAAAATACAGGACCCAGAAAGAAAGTCGCACACCTACAACCAACTGATCTTTAACAAAGTCAACAAAAATAAGCAATGAGGAAAGGACTCCCTATTCAATAAATGGTGCTAGAATGACTGGCATATGCAGAAGAATGAAACTGGACCTGTACCTTTCAACATACACAAAAATTAACTAGAGTTTGATGAAAGGCTTAAATGCAAGAACTAAAACTAAAAATCCTAGAAGAAAACTTAGGAAATACCCTTGTAAACATCAGCTTTGGCAAAAAATGTATGACTAATTCCTCAAAAGCAACAGAAACAAAACAAAAATCGACAAGTGAGACCTAACTACAGAGCTTCTGCTCAGCAAAGGAAATTATCAACAGAGTAAACAACAACCTACAGAATGGGAGAAGATATTCACAAATTATGCATTTAACAAAGGTCTGATATCCAGAATCTACAAGGAATTTAAACAATTCAGCAAGCCGAAAACAACCCCACTAAAAGTGGGTAAACAACATGAACAGACCCTTCTCAAAAGACATACAAGCAGCCAACAAACATTTTTTTAAAAAATGCCCCATGCCACTAATCATCAGAGAAATGCAAATGAAAACCACAGTGAGTTAGCCATCTCATATCAGTCAGAATGGCTATTGTTAAAATGTCAAAATTAACAGATGTTGGTGAGGCTGTGGAGAAAAGGGAATGCTTATATACTGTTGGTGGGAATGTAAATTAGTTTAGCCACTGTGTGATGCACTTTGGAGATTTCTCAAGTAACTAAAAATAGAACAACCATTTGATTCAGCAATCCCATTATTGGGTACATACCCAAAGGAAAATAAATCATTCTACCAGAAAGACACATGCATTTATGTTCATCACAGCACTATTCACAATAGCAAATACACAGATCAACCTAGGTGCTCCACAACAGTGGTTTGGATAAAGAAA